CGGCCCAGCTGGCCGGAGAAGATCGCCTCCTTTGCGGGCTGCGCCGACTGCAAAGGCCAAACCGAAATCAGACACTCAACAGAGACTTTCCATGAGTGGTGTCACCAGCTCATTCCGCCCTTCATGCTGTTGCCAACAAAGTTGGACACGACGAGAAAGTTTAAATGCCCCTTGGCTTTTTCGACATGTTAACCGTTTGCCGTTCGGTTGAGTTGAAGCCATCTCGTCTCGCCAGCGCCATCACTTCTCTGAAGCGCAGTGAATTGAGACGCAGCTTATGTGACTCTGGTGGATTGTGCTGAAACTTTACGACCTGTTTCTACGGCATACATCACACACCAACCAGCTCGCCATTCTTAGTGTGGACATGTCGGAAGAGTCACCAAAGAAAACGAAGTGGACGTTGTCAGAGGAAAGGAAGCAGATGGAAGAAAGGGTGATCGAGTATGAAGCATATTTCATTTGTTAGCCAGAACTAAAAGAGGCCAAAGGATGCAGTACAGTTGCTTACCTAGCGCTGTTGTTATTGGACAAGTCATAACTTTAGCTTGTTCGCTTTGTCTTTGTCTTTGTGATGTTCCGCCTGATTGATGTTGGAATCTGCCCTATTTCTGTAAAATCTTTTCCTATAGGCCGTAGTTCTTTGCAATGGAACATTTAATCCTGCTGCTTTATCAGTAAAGGGATTTTAGAAAAATATTAAAAACTAATGAAAGAAGGATACGAAGGCAAAAATCTAAGAACGGAGACATAATAATAAGTAATCTGATTACATGATGCAGCCCACTCTGTTCCTTGTCTTTAAAGACCTTAAGCTCAACTGGACCTGAACGATCTTGTCTAAAACTAATGAGAGTCCCTCTGGGACGTGGGGGTCAGGGTTGATTCTTTCCACTCACACAGCTTGTTACAGGCCTGTGAATGTGTAAGTAGTAAACAACATGGTATAATTAGAAATGGTCTGGTTAAGGACATTTTATGGAAAGAAGCAAGACCACAGAGTGGAGAGAAGCTTCCGATGATATTGTTTGGAGCAGCTCTCATCCTTCAGGAGGGATATTTTGATTTGTGGGAGATTTTTATATTTCTAGACATCTGGGAGTCATCAATTTGAGGCCGTGACCACGTCATCATCTATATATTCAGATAACAAAACAAAAAAAGCAAAAAATCATTTAGGCCCAGCCAACAGTCCCAGAGAAGCGTGGTGACGATGAGGGAAGCTGTCATCACAACAGTTGCGGTGAAGTCGTCACCAGACTGAGGCCAAACACAGGAAGCTGGTGTGTTGATGGGTCATCGGATTAAAGGAGCTCAGTTTTCAGGGGTCATTTACTGTAAGTGTCACAACTTAACTTTCGAGATGAAGAGTTAAGATAGCTACTTACTCTGTGTGACGAGTATGTCGGAAGTATGTCACTTGTAAACACATAAATAAACTTCCTAGGAGAATTAATTGTTTGTTATTCCTGTAAAAAACAGTTTATCATGTGTTAGGAAAGTTATTGTTTGTCAGCAGGAATTTTTTATTACTTTCTTTAGGGGCATTTTTTTTGACATTTTCAAATTATTTCCAAGGGGACTGATATGAGTTTGTGCAATCTGGTATGGGTCCAAATAAAAATCTGTATGAAGCAGATATGGTTTCATCGGGACACTGTTGGGCCTCGGTGGAGGTATGAGCCTCTACTGAGTGCCACTCTAGTTCTTCTTGGTTAAGTAAAAATTATTCTGGGAGTTATTAAGTCAGTAGATGTTTTCAAACATGAAAGACATTCAATAAACTGTCATACAATTCAAGTGGTTGTAGAAAATTCACAGCAACTCTTTCTGTTCTGGGAACTGTTTCAACAAATGCAAAGTCAATCCCACTGACAGAAAGACGCTATGCCAGAATTATATATATGTTCTAATTTATTATTACATGAAACATTACAAGCGGTTTGAGTTTCTACCTGAGGGAATATTTCAGTTTCCTTACAGCGGCAGATGCAAAGAAAGGAGCAAAACTGACTTGTAGTTTACATGACATCGAGCTCCATCAGCACGCCCTGACTTGTCCCCCATACACGCCACATCTGCCGCTCGGCGCCCACCCACACACTTTCTCAAGGGGCCAAACAGTGGATCTATTATGCAAAGTGATATTAACTTTGTATGTACTTGGCAGAAAACTGGTTCATGAAATAAAGTGAGTTGAACAAGGTTGTATTACGTCACAGAAGTAACAAGCAGCCAAAAGTCAGGAGTTGAATGGTCATGACAGAAGATGAATGCATGATTTTGTATTTTAGAGGAGTAAAAGTTAAGATAATTAGTCAAAGAAATACATTTCTTAATGTGAATTGATAAAAAAGATATTATATATGTGTAACAGTCATTTTACAGGATATGCAATTAGACAGCAAAACCCAGTTCAATGTTCAGTTCAAGGTGCTTTTTAACATCTGTCCGGGGACGACAGAGATTATAAGTAATTTATTGTTGTATCTTCATCATCCCTGACAAATACATGACAGCTGAACTAAAGTAAATACAAACATATATTAATACCAACATTGCACCTTGAACAGCTTTGATACAGATTTGACTAACAACAGCTAACTATTATTTTCTCATTTAATTGATCAGATGTTTGGTTGATAAAATGTCAAAAAAAATCAATCAGCGATTGATGGAGTAATCATTCGGATTCCGCAGCTCTCCAGAATTATTTGAAGGATGAATACACAAACAAAAATAATCATTGATGGTCACTTTTAAGATATTCATTGTCATAAAGATCTACAGAAAATAAGATTCCTTTAAAGATCCAATCAATTCATGTATTTGATACTGTAATTTAGAAATTAAAAATCTGTGAGATCAACATTCATATATTGTGATCCGTCATCAGATGGCTGGAATTAAAAAATCAGGATCATACAATAATACCTTCTGAATAAACCTATATCCATGCATTACTGGGGGCCACTGAAGCAAACAGATTGTGTCTCTCTGATTTGGTCCAGCTGTCTCTGGTTTATGAGGCTGATAAAGTAGAACAGGTCTCTCCATCTGTGCCGCACCAGTCGTGGGGACAGACCCAGACCACAACCCCCAGGTCAACACAATGAGAAGGAAATCAACACAAATCCTGTTTACTCTCCACCTCACAATGTCATGCAATAAACACATTTCACCATTGAGCAAAAGCACAATGGGGAGAGATTTCAATGACACCAACTTTTATAGGTAGATGTTTGGAAATATGCTGCAGGAGGGATGAAGAGTTGTTGACCACAGTGTGACTCTGCTGTGAAATGGTCAATAAATGTAAAGCAACACAAAACGGAATAACCACGATCAAACTTTTGTATGTGTTTGATTTAATTGACCAGGACTCTGTGGGACCCTCCTGCTTAAAATAAAGGATACATTAACCATCGCATCCAAATTAATTGATTAATTGAATCTAATTTGGTTTCTCATGTTTTCGGTTCACATGCAGATTCACTAAACAAAATCAGGTTATCTTTTAAGTGCTTAGATTAATTGAATGATTGAGCTTAAATCTCGGTGGGTTAATAACCAAACCCGTGATTATGAGCTTAACGTGGTGAAGATAACCAGACTGAAACATTTGCATGACAATACCCATATAGTAGTATTGCTTTAATCTGATTACCGTGATGAAAATGTGGGTTACGCACAGTTAGACCAGCTTCTCCTCGTGCCCTCTTTGTTTTTATTTGATTCTGTCTGCCCTCAGGGTTACAACTGTCTCCGTCTGCCTGATGTTTTTTTTGGCAGCTGTGTTACCTGTAACCTCCAGACAAAGTCTCTGTGTGTCTCTGTGGTTTCTTAAACAAATGAGGGCCCGACGGTGTTGACGCTGACAGTTACCAGCTCCTAACAGTCCTGGGTGATTGCGTCAGAAAGGTTTGTCTGTTTGTCTGATCCACCTCCACTGGGTTCGCATCAACGAGAATATTTCTGGAACTTCTGGAAGTATGCACGAGGCAGGACGTTATGTCTCCTGCTGCACAAATCATGTGGTTTTGTTTACAGGTCCATTTCTCCCAGTTTCTCTCTCATGTGCTTCGTGTTGTCTCAGTAGAATGGTCAAGTTAGCATTATTATTTCTTCGTTATTCCCAAGTCGAGGGGAAGGGGGGGGGGGGACACCACTTCTGACAGTAAAATGACACAAGCTCAGTGAGTCCTGTCGACCAGCAGCCGTTACCTGTGTGAAACTTCTCAGACTCCGTTCACAAACTCACTCTATGGGAATCTACCTCTGCTTCTGCTGAGTCTGCAGTCGGGCTCAGTGAAAATTAATGGTAGTCGCTGTCAGCAGTTATTTATCAGTGTGGAAGATCCTAACTGCTAACAGGCCGGTTCCCATGCTGTGTCAGGTTGTGTTGCCCTGATGCAGGAACGATGTGGGCTTCAGACACAAGCTTTCAGACTTTCGAGATTTTCTTTTTGGAACTGTGATTGTTTTCACGCAAAAAAAACCTCAACTAACAGCAATTAAATGTCTGGGTTTTCAAAAATAAAAAAAAGGTTATCTTCAAGTAGTTGCTGCTCATCTGAGTGATTTTACAGAAAGGTCAAACAGGTGGATATTAGTTACATGATAGAGCCATGAAATCAAAAAGCTGAGTCTATTGACTGATAGGCCTCTGGTTAGAGTTTAATTGATCAATTAAAAATGCAATAATGGGGATTCAAATATGAAGAAATTGAAGCTGTCAGAGTGGGATCCATTACAAACTGATGTATTTATATATATTTACTCAGATATTATGGGAATGATAGGAACTTACAGTTCTGATTTCTTGCTTACTTCAAAAATGCTTAATTTTCTTTTCAAACACCCACTTCCTCATTATCTCTTCACCAGTTTGTTCAGTCTGTGTCTGACTGTGCAAGTGTGTGTGTGTGTGTGTGTTTGTGCGCGTGTGTGTTTGTGCATGAGAGAAGAAGAACGCCCCTCGGCGCCGCGCACGGAGAGGCGCGAGTCCCTCCAGTCATTCCCAGCTCGGGAACTGAAGTGACAACATCTCGTGCGTCACAGAGACGCTTCACTTCCCTCTCTCTCTGCGGATCCAGCGGAGGATGAACTGAAACTTCACCGACTCCTTGTTATTATTTTTTTACCGGAGCTGGGAGACACTCTATCGGATCTATGAAAAAACCCACGTGGATTAGTGAAACCGTTTTAAACCAGAAGGAATGTATATGTTCTTGGTCAAACTAACTCTCCTGCTGTCGCTGATCGGACAAACACGAGGTGAGTGTGTGTCTCTGCGTTCATGCAACTTTTCATTAGTTTCAAACAGGAGAAAATGTAACTCTGTGAAGTTTTAGTAACTACATGCAACTTTTCTTTGTAAACTTATGCGCTGAAACTCACTTTACCCACATTTCTATTACTTATCCTGCACGTTTTCTTCACTTTACTCATAGTTCCAGCTCAACAACTAACTCTTAACTTCTACTACATACAAGTTTTAATACTTTTCTTTACTTCTAACACACTCAGACTTAATGTACTTGTATCTGCAGCGTGGTTTGGTAGATAACATGAGTTTCTTACAAGATCTCATGCACCTGTTTGCATCCCAAACATGATGTTTTCTCCAGACCTCTTCTTCTTCTTCTTCCTCCTGCATCTCTTCTCACCTCCAACACCCAACTTCTTCTCAGCAGTATGTAAACGCATGCCTTTGCATTTTGCATACAGAGCATCTATTTATTATTGCAAAGCTGTGTTACTCCCACAAATGGTTCATTCTCTGTTGGGGCAGCTGCAGGGAGAAGCACTCTGCTGCCAAACCAGAGTCGAAACTCCTGTTCACCGCAAAAAACTGCACTTCCCAGGTGGCAAGAGTCACACCTACGCTTCACTTTTATGGAGTCATACCTGTGCCACTTATCTGCCCTCTGGGAGAAACAGAAACTTGGATGTTCTTCGCTGCACCACCTTCACGTGTTGCAATAACTGCCAACTGTAAATAAGTAGTGATTTCAGATGTTTAAGGAAATTGCAGGTGTATTAAAACTGTCCCTCCGCAGGCCTGAGATGCTCCACGCTCACAGAGCCGTGTTTGAACCAGGGGAAATGTGAAACAACTCCAGATGGGAACGGAGAGTGCAAGTAAGTCTAACATCTGCATTTTTAAAATGTAAAACCAATGACTCAAGGAGGGGGGAGGGGGCACATGAGATTTTGAAATGTGGGATTTGTGGAATCAGAGATGACTCAGATTTTTGGTCGACATGTGAGGGCTCTAAAGGTGGAGTTCTCATACCAGTGCTGCTATTTCTGGGAGGCAAATGGTCAGAGAGCACAGACAGAGATGAGTGGACATTGATGAGGACTGGGGTCACTGTGTGTGTGTGTTTCTGTGTGTGTGTGTGTGTGTGTGACTGCCACCACACTCTCCCCTCTGCAGCCAAAACTCTCGCAGCCCTAAATCTTGTTTTTCTTTTCTTTCACGGAGCGACAGCTGGGGTTGCCAGAAGCTCGGCGACCATTGTTCTCCGCTGCGATTAATTCTGTGTGACTAATCTGGGTGAGGCTTCCCAGAGAGACCCTCAGACCCTGTCCTCCTACCCTCCGTCTCCTCCGCCCCCCCTCCCTTCCCGCTCTCTCCTGGGATTTTGTCCCCTTCCTCAATGGCCTTCAGTGCTCGGTCTCTCCCTCTCTCCCTCTCATTCCTCTGGACAGATGGCAGATGTTAGATGTTTTCTAACCTGAGACAAGTTCTTCACTTTGTCTCTTGAGGTTGGTTTTCATTTGGATTGATGTTTTGAGTTCACATGTAAACCTGATCTGCCCTGGACTCTTTATTTTTCGGACATCTTTGTGTTCTGTGCTGTGTGTCTGACTTGGCGTGAGCAGCATCAGCCAGAGTCCAGTGTCGTCTCACTGTCGCTGACCGCCGGACGATTGGGCCGAGTCGGGGTCACGCACAGCTTCAGGGCCTCGTGAACCAGGCAGCTCTCTTGCCCCCCCCCATCGCCACGTCTTAATTTGGTCTGGTGGTGTTATTCACTCGTCAATTACACCCCCCCACCACCCACTCACCCTCACCCTCACCTCCTCACTGTGCCACAAAGCCAGCATTGTGCTGCTGCACTGTCCTCCTCCTCAGACTTCTCCAATTAAACATGGAGATGGGCATCATTGTAAAGAAGGAAAAAGAGGTTTGTGTGTGTGTGTGTGTGTGCGCGTGTGTGTGTGTGTGTGTGTGTGTGTGTGTGTGTGTGTGTGTGTGTAATACATTAAATTCTTATTGTTAGTTGTCATTATGCAACCAGAGAAACTCCTGAGAAAAAAGTTTAGGGTCATTAAGTTCACGTAGGGAAACTTTCGCTGCAGAAACTTGCAGATATGATTTACTGGAACATTTAAAAATGTGTCTTGCTTCACTTTTCCGTAGTATTGTAATCTGATTACCTTTCGGATTGTACATTTTGGATTTGACTAGACTTGACTTGTCGCCCTGGCGTGTGTGATGGGTATTTATTTTTTGTGGCCACTGTTTTATATTTTACAGATTAGGTGAGTAATTGATTAACCAGAAGAATAAGTGTTGATTGATTAACAGTAAAAACAGATATTCAGCATCATTTGAATGATTTTTGGCTCAGCTGAACTGTTACATGTTTCATTGTCTGTTTTCCTTTCGTGTTGCTGCAAACCGTCTGTGTGCATGAACCCAAAACATACAGACAACATACCCCAAATAAAACAGTTACTGTTCCTCCTCACTCATTTTGAACCTGATCTCTATGTCTCCAGTCAAATTATCCCAGATATGAATGATGCCATCTTGTGAATTTGTAGCCAGAGTCTGTTCCGACCTACAACGAATCTTTGGCCGATACCCCATCTGTTAACATGGAGGAGGCGAGGTTTATGTCTTATGCTGTTGCTAGCCACCAGGGGGCGATCAAGACTCTTTGGCTTCACTTTTGGGGGCTGTCATGTTGTTCATCTTTATATAAAGTTGTGATATGACACATTCAATCATTATTTAGTTGCTGTGAGGTCAGCGTTTCAATTTTAGCAGTTGCAGATGGATTTGAGGATTAAACGACCAAAGGCTTAATTTAGTATCACTCTTGCTTAAAGTTGTGGAATTGGAAATAGACAGATACAAAAAAGAGAGAGATAGATCCAGGAGAGGCTGAGATACCCTGGCTAGTTCCCAGTATTAGCTAAGCTGAATCACTGGTCTCAAACCTAAGCCAAGCTAACCCTGATGACAGTCAGAGTCATTTTCTCACACTGGACAAAGCTCCGTCCTCCAGAGCCATAAAATACATTATACAACAGTTTTACAGAGTCGAACTCAAACACGATGATTCACCTGTAAACTGAGCTGCGAAGTGGTCCTCACTTCTTTTCCGTGAACGGGATCCGACCCAGGAAATGTGTTTTCCACTTTCTTTAATTGTGTGTTCATGTGGTTTTATGATGTTTCACGTGAACTTCATCTCAAGTCACAAAAACAACAACTCAGGGTTGCTGACGTCATCATAAACCAATAAGGATAATTTTATAATCAGCTCGAAATAGTAGCTTAAGATGCCACTTTACTTAATGTCCTTTTTCTGTTTGTTGTCATGCAAATATTGGAGCGATGTTTCAAGGTGTTGTTTCGAATGCTCTAAACACATAAATACATTTCGTCTACAGCGTCCTTCATCCGGTTTTTTACATTGTCAACAATTTTATCAAATCATTATTGGATCTTGGTGATTTAGGGAACTGATGCATGAGTTGTGTGCAGTTTGGTGCAGCTCCAAATGGAAATCTGAACTTAAATGTGGTTTCGTAAGGGCACTGTTGGGCCTTGGCTGCAAAATGAGTGTCATTCCAGTTCATTCACCTCTTTGCGATTTCCTGTTTGATCTTGTGATGGAAAAAGTGTTTTTGTGTTTCCGAAAAGCTTAATTTTATTTGTTCTGCCGCCTCACTCCATTCACGACAGAATTATGAGCTGCTTCTGCCTCCATCTAAAACCACTCAAGTGTTATTTGGAGGTCAAGTAAGTGGTGTTTCAGTTTTATTTCGCCTGACAGAGTTGCCTCCTCAACATGCCATAACATAAATACCATCCACTCCCTGTATCTGGCCCAGCGAGATCCCGACTGACTGAAGTTTATCTCCACAAGAGCTTTGAGGAGGCCTCTCATTCACTGCAGAGGCTTGGCAGCAGCGAGAGCCGAGAGCAGCGACGGGGCTGAGCCAATCCAGATCGGGGGAAAATAACTCTCCAGAAATTCCAGCGGCACGATGGTCCAGAGTGGAACCCGCTGTAGGCTGAGATTCTCTCCACCGGCGGGGATGAGAGATGTGAGATGGGCCGGTTCAGGAGCGAGGACGGACGCCGCGGAGAGATCACATGCACTCACCATCAGTTAATCAGGACGAGGAATGAGTACAACAGGTTTCTGACAGACGTTGATAGTAGAGTCACATGATTCGACGAGAAGTGCACAACAGATAAACACAGAGTGGAAGTTTAGTTCTGAGCTGCTGTTCAAATCTGGACACTGTAGCTCTGATGAATTCAATAGAAATAAAACAATCCTGTCTTTCTCTCTGGAGCTTTCAGTTACATCTCATGGGCTTCAGCAGCAAACTTGATCACTTGTTGCGGAGCTACATCTGTATGTTAGCAGAGTTGGGGTTTGATGTTTTTGAAAACTGCTAAAGCCAATGTCAAGAATTAAGTTTCATCGAAGAATTCCTGCAAGTGCAAGGAATAAAATCACAAGAGCTACGGGAGCAGATCCAATGACTTTTCAAATTTGAAACCTTTCCTTCTCTTCTGACGTTTTGACATATTCTGGGAGCACTTAGGTGAAAGTGCTTCAGGTTTCAGCGGGACTGACAAACACTTAGGGTTTGAAAATGTGAGAAGTTAAATCCTGTTGTCAGTGTCTGTGTTTGAGTGAGAGCAGCCTCAGGTAACGAGCAGTCGATAATTCCTCGCTGGTATGTGCAGCGACGGCTACAGTATACATCCACTACGCTGAAAGTGAGCCCTTGTCTCTCCGGTTCTTGGGATTCTTCAATGGCACCTCTGTTTTCTCTGGTCAGATGAGTCCATCGTAACCCCCCCCCCCCCACCACCACCACTCCCACTTCACCCAAGATCCCCCCCTTACATCTCCATTCAGAGTCAGGAAACGGCCTCGGAGCGGCCCGGGGGGGAAGAAAAGGTGCTGTATCTGATCATATCATCACACAACGAGAAACACACAGCGCTCTGCTTTTATATGGCCGCTGCCGCCCGTGTCGGGTTCCCTTTGGCATGAGTCCTGCCTAGTGAGAGGGCCGATCGGCACAGAGTTCTGGGCATATGAAGCGACTCAGAGGTGGGGAACCTCATAGCGCCGGGGAAACGGTGATACTTGAGCCGCTCGGGTTGTTATATATGCCAAGACAAATCACGTATACTTTGATCGGATTGAAACTGTGTGTGTGTGTGTGTGTGTGTGTGTGTAATACATTGCTTTCTTTTCTTTTTCTTCCTCCAGTCAGACCTCCTGTCTTTGGGTTTTTAGTGTAACAGCGAAACAGGGACGTGCACACAGAGTGCTTCATAATACCCATGATTACTTGTGGTTTCTGCCCATTCAGCTCCGCACTGCAAAGCATCGACTCTGTCTGCCAGGTGTGCTCTCAGCCTTTAGTCACTCTCGCTGCCCGACAGTCACTCACATATTAGGGAGAATGGAGCGTGATGCCTCCGCAGTGAAATGAAGCAGCTTGTTCAGGATATCTGTTACACAGGGAGGAAGAAATGACCTTTAAGGATCATAAAGTCTTATCCACACATGACAACTTACTGTGTTTTGAGCCAAACGTCAAAAGGAACCATTTATACTTTTCCACTTTGACACATCCAGAGGTTCAGGTGAGAAAAAGATGCTGTGTGAGAAAACTGAGTCAAATTGAAAGACATGGCTGTAACACATAAATATTTATATTTAAGACTCGTTGATGCTCAATGTATGATTTGTATTCGTGGTGTCTTCTTAAGGCTTATTGATGAAACAAACAGAAAAGAGCGGTACGCTAGGAAATTGGGGGGGGGGGGCACGAGGAAGAAATTCAAACAAAGAGTTGGTAAGAAA